GTGGCTCGACTTTATCTTTTTCCGATCATCTTCTCAAGAAGCCATAGAAATGCTTCGAAGCTTCGTAAGTGTTCTTACCTCTTTGTCCTCTTATGCTTTTTTTTTTTTACAGATCGATGAATTTTTGTTCTCATCTGCTTTTTGATTCGTAGGTTCAGATTCCCAGGTAAGAGATCTATCTACCGATTGTATGTTTTTTCAAAATGCCGAGGCAGAATCAAAGCGTGGAGAATCTGCTTCTTCTGGGTAAAATCAGGAAACGTGGTTGTTCTTCGCCGACATCGTCTACTTCTTCGATTCTCAGGGAAGGTTATCGTTTCAAAAGAGCGATTGTTGTTGGTAAAAGAGGTGGATCCACTACTCCTGTTCCTACATGGAGATTGATGGGTCGATCTCCTTCTCCAGCTTCGTCATTGAGAGCTTCCGGTGCTTTACACGGTTCGTCTCCGGCACCGTCGCACTGCGGGAGTAAAACCGGGAAGGTAGTAGCATCAGCTGCTCCGGTTTCGGCGAGGAAGCTAGCCGCTACTCTTTGGGAGATGAACGAGATGCCTTCGCCGAGAATTGTGGAGGAGAAAGCGAAGCTAACAAATAGAAAGAGTAGAAAAGAGAGAATCGCGCCGCTTCCTCCTCCGAGATCGGTTCGTTCTGGCTCTCTACCACCTCACCTCTCCGATCCGTCGCATAGTCCAGTCTCCGAGGTAATGTTTTATGGATTATGATTGGTTTAAAGAGGAATGTGCTGTGATTTGAGTATCTTGCTGGCTCCATGTGCTTTAATTCTCTGACTGATCATAGGAGAGAGAAACTTTCTTTTGCTTGCTTTGCTTTAGATTCTCACTCACGCTTCTGCATTTCGTGATAAAACAATACTAGTATTATATATTTGATACGGGGAAGTTTAAAAGATCTCAACTTTCTTAATTGATGAATTGATAATCTGTGTGTGTGATTCTGAGGTCTGAATTTGGTCAAAGCTTGTGTATTGTTTGGCAACCTCTATGAGTATTTTATTCATAAAATGAGAATATTTCTCCTTGCAACTTCTGATTGATGTTAAGAAGTGGGATTAGAGAAGATTAGAAAATGTTGATCTTCGGAATCTTTATGTCATGTGCTGAAAAAAAGCACATTTAAGTTTATATGAAGGGGCATTTTTGTTTTATAAATTGGTGCCGATTATCTTTGCATAATTGGGTAGTTTTAACATTCATCATTTGGAGGTAGTTGGTTGTTTATTAGAGGTTGATTTATTGTGAATAATGTAGGCCTAGATACTCTTATAATTGAGACCTAGGAAGGTTATATATAATGCTAATTATGGCAATGGACAATGCGAAATTCGGCTTCCTGCTTTCTTTATATATGTGTTCGGTAATAGGGGAAGCTGAGAAACTCTTTGATTTTGTAGAGGATGGAAAGATCAGGGACTGGAAGTCGCCAGAGAAGAGCATCCTCCAATGTGCAGAAGCTTAGGCTTGGAGACTGCAATGCGGGGGCTAGGGATCCTATTAGCAATGGCAGCTTCATGGATGTAAGTTGGTTTTTTTACGTGTTTCGCATTATGGGGAAACCTTTCTGTCTGCAGCTTCCATACTTTTGTCAGACCAAATTTGGTTTTTGATTGAACTGTACATGTTAAATGCTTATGGATGAAAGTGCATGATTGAGCATTACTGGCTTCAGAGGCTGTTGGTTGTTGACTACGATAAAGCTTTCTTGTTAACTTCGGAAGCATACAGTCTTCGTTTTTGTTAGTTATGGACATATACATTACATGTAAGGCTATAAGCAGCTAGGTGATACTGAATCTGCTATGATTTGTTTGTCTGCATCTATCATCTTTAAATCCATTTGCGTGCAAGATAGGGATGTGTAGAAGGATTTGACATAGCTTTTTCAATGCAGATTGAGACTCGATCACGGGCAGAGACACCGACTGGGTCGACTGTGGGAGTCAAAACACGGTTGAAGGATTGTAGTAACGCTCTCACAACATCAAAAGAGCTTCTCAAAATCATTAATAGGATGTGGGGTCAAGAAGACCGGCCATCTTCTGGCATGTCCCTTGTCTCTGCTTTACATTCTGAGCTCGAGAGAGCGCGCTTACAGGTCAATCAGTTAATCCATGAACACAAACCGGAAAACAATGACATTAGCTACTTGATGAAGCGTTTTGCTGAGGAGAAAGCGGCGTGGAAAAGCAACGAGCAAGAAGTTGTTGAGGCTGCAATCGAATCTGTTGCTGGTGAGCTCGAGGTGGAGAGGAAACTGAGGAGACGGTTCGAGAGTTTGAACAAGAAATTGGGAAAAGAACTGGCTGAAACAAAATCAGCTCTGATGAAAGCGGTGAAAGAAATCGAGAACGAGAAGCGAGCGAGAGTGATGGTTGAGAAAGTTTGTGATGAACTAGCAAGAGACATAAGCGAAGACAAAGCCGAAGTTGAAGAACTAAAGAGAGAATCTTTTAAAGTCAAGGAAGAAGTCGAAAAGGAAAGAGAGATGCTGCAGTTAGCTGATGCATTGCGCGAGGAGAGAGTCCAGATGAAACTCTCGGAGGCTAAACATCAGCTCGAGGAGAAAAACGCAGCTGTTGATAAGCTAAGGAACCAACTTCAAACTTACCTGAAAGCAAAAAGATGCAAAGAGAAGACCCGTGAACCGCCTCAGACTCATTTACATAATGAAGAGACTGGAGAGTACTTGAACCACCATATCGGTTTCGGCTCATATAACATTGAAGATGGAGAAATCGAGGATGGAAATGAAGAAGAATCAGGCGAAAGTGATCTTCATTCCATAGAACTGGACATAGACAACAAGAGCTATAAATGGCCTTATGGTGAAGAGAACAGAGGAAGAAAATCAACACCAAGGAAAAACCTTTCTATACAAAGAAGCATATCGGATTGTGTTGATTGGGTTGTACAGAGCGAGAAGCTACAAAAAAGTGGAGATGGAGGATTGGATTGGGGAAGATCTATTGAAGTTGAGCCTAAAGGGTATTTGGATGAAACACAAGCTTATAGTAAACCAAACAAGGCTTCTTCAAAAGATCATCTAGTCTCGGGTTCGAGACTAAGCAACTTCCGCGGTGGATTCGTTTCAAAATCGCGGTTATCGGATGCTTCAAAAGGCGAAAACCAGAATGCTAGGAAATCAAGATGGTAATGAGCTAAAACCTGCGAATTTCTTCACATTTTCAGGGCAGAGATAATAGAAATCTAAAGACTTTTGACATCTACATTTCCTCTGTTCGCTCGTTTTGCCAAAAGAGTGATTCTTCATATGTAAGTGACAAAAAGCTTGTACTGATAATGATCCAAACATGTAAGAACTTGAATTTTACATAAATGCACGAACTGTCTTTCAATTTGAGATTCAGATCGCTTAAACCCTAAACCCTTCACTTCAAAATCTGAAATTACAGAGCGAACGAAGAACTAAAGCTCTAATCGTCGAGCCATTTCCTGATCCGATCCTTGACGAAATCGTTCCGAGCCTTGACTCGAGCTTGTTGCGGTCCGATATTATCGAGTGATAGATACGCTCCGGCAACGAATAGAGAAACACCCGCCGCAAAAAAACCAACAGACACCACCAACTGCCGCCGTGTCGGCGGATACGACATAAAAAATACCATCCTTGTTCCTTTTTTTTACCGCTGTCTCCGGCAAAAACCCTCTTATAACAGAAACAGTTAATGGGCCGGACTTTTCGTTTTTGGGCTTGAATCTTAATGTCCATATATCGAAATTGGAAAACGAAATGCTTAGGAGTTAGGTCTAAGAATAAGTATCGAGTCCGAGAATTTTGATTTAAAATCTTTCTAATGTGTTAACCAAGAGCTAGAGAGGGAGAACTAAAACTCGATAGAAGATGATCCTTTTTCCTTTCGAGTACATGATCATGTGGTTAAGATTGATGTTCTTGGTACTATTTGTCTCGACCATTGTAACTACATTTGGGTTTCAATAAGTTAGAATTTTTATGGGAAGACAATAAATATCACTCAATCCCTTATTTGGGTCTTTTAATTTAAGCTAACACGAGACCCAATTGGTAGTTGTTGATTACTTAAAAGGCCCATTATGAAAACTATACTCGCACAACATTATGGATGGACGTTTAATATTTTGAACCTTATGATTATATTTTTTTTTTGTTTTTTTGCGAGCCCTCAATTGCTCTAAATATTTTTCCTATAAGAGCATGCAGGTTTTTAACAAATACTCTCTCTTAAAATTTGCAACTTTTTTGTGTACAAAGTCTTTGTACCGAGACTTTTCTCTAGTAAAACGGTAAAACCCAAAGCATTAAATTAAATCAATAAAACTAAAACAATACGGTTATATATACGTATGTTATTATATGTATATTATTAAGTTGTCAACTTCATCACCTCTCTTGACTTTTGTACTAATATATACATAGGAGATTTGTTAGTTATACCACATGAAACAGATCCGTTGTTATCGTTTTCGTATTTATGAAGAATCGGCTCACCCATTTTCCACGCATCATTGTTTATATATACGACTATGTAGAAGAATGATCTTTAGATCAATTGTCGCGAAATGGCTGATAAAATACAATTAACACATGTTCGTTGAACCCAAAACAAAAAAAATAAAAATATTCGGATGTATGACAAAATTGATAACTCGGATTTTAGTTCCCACGTTATATAAACTCCAAGGTTGGAGAAAAACAAGAAGCAAGAGATTTTTTCTTGCCCAAAAAAAAAAAACAAAAACTTCAAGGTTGGAGAAAAACAAGAAGCAAGAGATTTTTTTCTTGCCCAAAAAATGGAAATTAATTGAAGATTAACATGTGAAAATGTGGTCGTTAGGAATAGAAAAAAACTGATACAGTAATTTAAACTCCAGTCTAACGACTAATGATCTTCCAAATTTTAAAATCAAATGAAACTACGAATCGTAAGTTTATATATTGGATGACTATTCAATATTTAATACTTCCTTCGTTTTATGAGGAATGATATTTTAAGTTTTTTTTTTGTTTTTAAAAAATTGATGATTTACTTCTTAATGAATGCACTTTTTTTTACAAAATAAATTTCATTGGTTTTAATGTGTTTTAATTGTCTTAAAATTGTGTTAAAAATTGTTAGATTTAATTTTTCTTAATATATGTGCAAACCCCAAAACATTAATTTTGAGAGAGAGTAGTAAACCTTTTCAGAGTTTTCTTATTGCAAATAAATCAAATAGTTCATGACAATCATTAAAGTGATTAACACAAAAGTCAAAAATATGATTGAGTTTTTGAAATAAATCAAATATTAAACTCAATAAACATTTTCAAAGTTAATCCGGTTAACTTCTGTTCTCGATTACATTCATTTTCTTTGTGACAATTATTACTTCAGTTTTTGTATTGTTACGTTACTTACGTAAGAATAATCAAATAACTGATTAAACAAAATGCCTACCTAAAGTCATCTCTAATCGTTTGTTACCCTGCCCATGTCGTTTACACGAACGCTATTAATTCTAAAGATTCACGTATCTCTAAAGGGACTTTAGTCAACGAAGCTGAATCATTAATATGCATTTAATTTAATTGGCTGTATTTATTATTAATCCACGTGTCTTTCCATGTTCAAATACGGTCGAACTTATACAATGTTTAAATGTAAACGTATAGTTCACCACTATTTATATCATCTACAATGTACGTAAAAATACTATAAAATTTTAAGATAATGCCTAACGTGAA